GGAACATGCTAATTTTGAGGGGATGAATAGGAAAATTATCTCGGAAAACACTGCTGAAAGACATATTTTTGCCAATAGTGTGAGGAAGCAGACAGCAACTCATTTCAGTTATTTCAAATGCACATCATCCTCATTAGCTGCAGTTGGAAGAATAAGAAACTTTACCTTTTCTAGAAACAGCAATAAAAAACAATACAGTTTGTGGTAGAAGGTACACTTCACTGGTACTGGTTTTACAGTACTGGTTTTCCCTGGTTCCCTAGATACCAAGCAATTCAAGATTTTTTTAATAGACCAAAAACAGCCTCAGTCTGTAGAAGAGCTGAGTTTTTCTACAAAATACATAGCATCCACACATTCTGCTGAAGAACTGGGAACTGACAGACACAACATCTCCTAAGATTTAAAAAAAAAAAAAAAAAAAAAAAAGAAAAGAAAAGAAAAAACCTTTCTTCAAAGGCCAGGAATGAAAGGGACGTGTAACACAAGCTACCCTAACTGCATAACCAAAAGCAGCACCAAGAAGCTGTGTGATGAAAGGTTGAAACTAACTTGGCTAGAGCAACTGAACTTTCTGTGATACTACACATTTGTTAATCTTCTCCTGCAAGCAAACCCAGAGATTTGGGATATCAGGAAAGGAAAGAAATCTGCTGAAAAGCCCAGAAATAGATCAAATGTAATGAGAGCATAAAAAGAAAAGGCAGCAGAAATAAATTCCCCCAAAAAAAGTATTCCAGACAAAGTACGATATTATTTTCAAAAGTAAAAAAATAAATGATCCATTGTGAAGGTTTCAGATTTCCTTTTTTCCTAAGTTTTGGACATCAACAAAAATTAAATAGCAACTGCATCTTTTCAATTAGTTCTGACTTGTTTTAGCTCAATTTTTGTTTCCAATATTTGCTAACGTATATAGAAACACTCATCAGCTTTTATTCTGGATACCCATAAATTCTTAAAAAAACAATACAGTGATTCACCACTCTCTCTCGGGCTATGTGGTTAACAAATCATTATTTATCATTAGTCTGGGGAAAAAAAAAAACAAAAAACACACACACAAAAAAACCCACAAAACTCCACAACAGTATTTAACAGTGGATTTTGAGCAGTCGCTCTGAAGATACGCAAGCTATCTGCACAATAACTTAGACAGTGGATGTACAACCCCAGTATTATTTTCAGTGACACAGAAAAGGCACAGTTCTTTTTGGAGGTAAGAGTACCTGCTTTAGCAATATTCAAGAACATCTTATAGTTTATTCTATAGTAAGAAAACATAATAAAGCCTACAAGTGAGACTCATTCACGTTGTAAGTAAGGCCGTTGACAGATAAAACAATGTGAGGTTAATGCAGAAGTTACACAAAGTATTAAAACTGTTACGGGTAGCTTAACGGTGCTTTTGCATTTTAACAACTTAGAATGTCTGAGTTGTTGGAAGTTGTGCCTTAGTTCAACCTCTTCAAAACCCCTTTTAGGATATTTCCAACAAATTTTAACCCAAGTTATTGACATTTACATCCAATCGTAAACCCCCATTTCTAGGTCTTGGCGTGGCCGATGACTTCCCTCTCGCAAGAGAGATTTAGGGGTGTAGGCCCGCGGACGGCAGGAGAGGGGCGAACGCTCACCCAGCGCGTGGCTGCAGCTGCGGCAGGGCTCTGCCAGGCTGACACCCGCCTGCTGCAGCTCTGCCCGCGGCGGCGTGGGAGGCGGGTTGGGGTTCTTCCAGCCATTGCATTTACAGGATTCCTCAGCCTGAAATCAAAGCAAAGGGGTATCAAATCAACAGGAATTTGCTGAAACGGCATTATTTCAAAAGCAATAAAAAGTAACATTGTTAACTACGAGTTGGTGGGGTTTTGTGATGGTTTGAGGGGATTTTTGGGGTGGTTTGTTGTTGTTGTTGCTTTGTTTGGTTTTGCTTTTTTTATCTACCACACAGCTAGATTTTATTTTCCAGAAACAATCAGAAATAGAATAGTACCCCAAAGAGATATTAACACAGTTCTGGTAAGCAAACTGTGCTCAGAGAAATACATACACAAACTCCAGCTAATCCCTTTACAGAAAGCCCTCACCCTCGTGAAAGAAGTATTCATTTACTGGTATACCGACATCTACAGATCCTGCCACCAAGACAGCTTTAATGATTTAAACCCAAACAGGTTATCTAACAGGCAACACGTTTATCATTGCCTTATCAGCTATACCAGCAGCAAGGCATCATGCAACTAAAACCAAGCCCATGGCAACCCAAGCAGGGTTAACTAAATACTGAAATAAGCAAACAATAACTGCACTCTTGGAGAACGCTGTCTATGGCAAGGCTTGGCCACGAAAGCAACAGATGCCAAAGACAGTGACACTACCAATACAACCTGGGAAGTTTTATTTACGCTCACTGAGTGTGAAACACCACCGACAGACTGCAGCTAAAAGGGGTGACCGTGAAGGGAGAGGTTGTGACTTTGGTAATCGAGTCTCAAATCATTCAGAAGTTCGAAGTACCAATTCTAGTTATCCAAAGAGCAGCTTTAGAGGAGGGGATTTTCTTCTGCATATCCAAAAGATCTTGGTTGTTTTGATGGTAAAGTACTTCTAACATCATTCATACTCCTATTTGAAGATCTAATCGGAAGGAAAGTGTGCTTTTCTGCTGTTCAGAGATATCTGTGCAGTGGGCCGTAACGAGATATTCATGCATTTGCACTGCCAAGACCTCAGTGAGCAAAGCACACCAACTGCTGCATAATATTTATGACTGAAACAACCTTAGTAGGAAAAATCGTGATGTTAGCACGTCCAGCACTAATATGTCATTTTCCAAAACCGATTCTGAATATATTTAATGCAATCTATTTCAAGAACCTATTTCATTTTCCTTTTATGTTTCCAAATCCCATCTTACCTAAGGAAGAAGCACCCAGGAGAAGGAGAAAGGATCACAGCTTGACAGCTCCTAAGACTGACAGCTTTGTAGATTGACGGTAAATTGTTCTTCCAAACTAATTTCAATATTCAGCAACCTGAGCACCGAGAAAACTGCTGCCTGCATTTCGCTGAGCACCACATGATGTTTTTACCATCTCTAAAGCTTAAGTATTTATCCGGCTGGGCTCCTGGCCCCAGGTGCCATGGCCTCTGCCTGTGCCTGGGGCAGTCTGGCAGGTACAAAGGGGGGTGAGTGGCATTCTCAGCAGACAGAGCCACCAAGATGACTCAGAAATCCACCCGCAAGTGCCCAGCAAAACCACTTCCACATAATGTCCTCGGAAAGGGGACAACCCGTGTCACCTGAACCCCCCCGGCTCTCCCAACTCACTGCGTGGGTGCAGACTGCCTGCCACCCCACGTATTTATAATGTAGCACCAGGGAGGTTTCAGTATGAAATGAGAGGAAGATTAAAACTATTTTTTTTTAAAGTCTCATAAAATGCAATCTGGATTGATATATGGTGAATTTTACCTTATTTTTCTATCACGTTTTCTATGAGTAATATGATTGGCAGAGAAGTGAAAAAGGCCCGATGCTATTTTACAGCAGAAACCATCTCGTACAGTTTCACAGGCACTGAGCCAGTTTTACTTTTGTTTGTTATCCAGACCTACAGGACCTCTTAAAGTTTAATGACTAGAAAGAGAGATCAGTGATTGAGCGATACCTGCAAACCAAGGATTGCCCTCGTGCAGGGACTTTGGACATCTGTGAGATGATGTGAAACCCCACTTCCAGTTAGCGCCTCCAGCCAGGCAAAATCAATGCCAAATAAGTGATCCACATTTGCTTTGTGGGAGAGGCAACGTCGCCATGAAAGTTTTTGCAGTTAAGACAAGCATAGAGAAACTGTCACAGAAAAAAACTGTCAGAAAAGGAGATTGATGCCAAAGAAAATTCAAGAGAGAATCGTAAAGAAGTTCTCAAACAAAAATTGATTGAATATTATTTTAGAGAAGTAAGATTTCATCTTTCCCATGCAGCTGTCCAGACAAATGTTCAACACTAGAAATTACTGACATGATATCATGCTTATTATTAATTGCCTTAAATCATACCACAATGAAACGTCCAAAAAAAAAAACCAAAAAAACTTCAAACTAGGCATAAGCTTTTTGAGAATTTTTTCTCTAAGTGGAAGCAGTATTTCACAGAAGCTCACCACACAATATTTACTATCAAGCCTAAAAAATATAAACACTGAGTAACTACTCAAACTTTAGTGTCACACAATAATTAACAGCAAAGATACAAACAAACAGATGTACCAATCGTGATAACAGCTCCGTTAAACTGCCAAAAATAAATATCAACCCACCCACAGAAGCATAAAAACAGCGTGTTCAATGGCAGATTTTTTCTGCCCTCGGTAGCATTTCCTCACCAGATCTTTTTGAAGCAGCTGTTAATTTGTATTGTTCAAATTATTCCAGAGACCTTTCTCAAACAACTACTAGGGTGGGGTTTTTTTCATTAATCTCTCTATAAAACACCAGAATCAGCATAAATGTTCTGTTAACCCAGGGGAAACACAATCTGAAAAGGTCCTCTTTAAGATTTCATTGTAGATTTTGACAGTGCAAGTATTTTGCAGTGAATACGCAATGTGCATTCCTCAGTGGCTTAAATTCATTCAATCTTTTCTTTGACTATCTTCAGCTTTTTCCTTCCTTTCTTCCCTTTTTTTTTTAATGTCACTCATCTGCTTTTCATTAGAAAATAAAGTATGACTTCACCTCCGCAAAAACTTAACTTAAGATCAAAACAGTTTTGAGGGAAGGAAGGAAAAGAAGCATTTGAACTAGTACATCCAGTCCTTGGAGCCTTGTTTTCTGGGACATCTGCAGAGCTTTGATAAAGCCACTGGAGAAAGTTGGGGAACTTCTGCCTTATTGAAGCCTGCAAAGTAACGACTCTCATCTTTGCAGACCAAGGGATCACAAACACTGCGTCTTCATTGGTGGTTTTTAATAAAATTGGATGAGTGCAATATAATAAAACACAAAAATTACACACTGTTGCCTGCCCTCCCTCCAAAAAAAAAGAAACAAGTGCAGAAGTTATGTACATTCTGCACCATACAATATGATTTCAATAATTTTTTTGACCCCTTCCATGTTAGGTGGAGCGTTACAAGGTGGGAAATCAAACTGTCCAGTAGTTCTGTGCAGTGAAAACTGCAACTCTGGACAAATTTAAGTTATCGTTTCCTTTAATATACTGAATATACTGATAGCAGGTCAAAAATGGACAGTGAAAAAATACTGCACATTTTAACACACGTTGTTAGCATTTTTATTTTAAAAGGAAGCACTAGAAAGTTAGAACATTGCACATCTCGGTGCCTTTTAAGTGGGTTTCAGGTGTCTAAGTAATAATGAATAAATGAAGAATCTTACGGTAATTTATGGAATAAACATTCCTCCCCTTTTCAGATACTGAAATGAGCATAGGAATGTGCAAACTCCAAGCTAACTTAATTACAAAGTAAAAAATCCCAACAGTTTTAAAACTGAATTTCAAAACAGTTGTTGTGCTGGGCTGTCTTTCCAACTTGAGATCATACAGGTTGCCCAGTTTGGTACTGAGATGCAAAGCAGACTCAACAGATTATATATATGCAATATTACAGACCTTGCTATTTCCAGCAAGTATAATTGCTCTAGAAAAAATACTCTTTCTCCCAACACAAAAGCCGTGTAAAATACTCTAAGAGTTTTTTCCTGCAAGCAATAATCTCAAATTGATGCTTTTAACCAAGAACATCACACAAACCGCTACAAATACATTAATGAATTTAAATACATATTTTTCCTACTCAAATGTCCAACACCCAGCAACCAGACAGTTAGACACTGCTTGAAAAGCCGCTCATACGTATCAGGAAATTAGCTGACCCATTTATCTTTAACAATACAAAATAATCAGTTCAACGTTTAGCTCTAAGGATATGTTCTTATTATATGTTTTTATATCTTACTGATCAATCCAAGTATTTTACCCCCTGTATTTTCCAGTGACACTTACATAAGAGATGTAGGGTACCAAATAAAGCTTTTATTAATAATAGTGGCCCAACTCCCACCTTGCAAAGTTAATGGTAGATTTCCTATTTAATTTAAAGGGAGATGCTTTGATTGGGCCTGTAAGATATTAGAGAACAGATTCACTCCACTATGAAAATGATCGTAAGAAAGCTTTAGATGTCTTGTATGTCTCCTACACACTTCTGAAGAAAACAACTTTAATACATTTCCCATTAAGCTTCAAGGAGCTGTGCTCACACTACACAGAGTCCAGCAGAAATACGGTCAAGTCTGCCTCATCTTAATCTGCCTTACAAAAGTCAAGGAAAAACATAATATTTCATTACGGAAACGGTGGTACGCATTTACCCTATGAATTCTTTTTTTATGTGTAGGAGGAGGAAAACTCCATGGATGTCACTCTAGGACGAGAAGTGGGACCAAGTGCCCCTACCAAGGCTCAGCAGCCTGTCTGGAGCCTGGGACCCAGATTTTACATCAGTTTCTGCCACTTGCTCACCTGCCGCAGGGCCGTGGCCAAGTCATCTCATCGGAACCCTTCTCACTCTCCATTTTGTTTATCTATAGCACAAAGTCTTTCTTCAAGGAGCTATTCATCCCTGCTACTTGTGCAAACGCCTTAGCTCTAATTATATTTATAAGCATCCAGGCATTACTGCAAGAGATATATAATGAGAAATGACCAATTTTACAGAAAACAGTGTACTAAAATA